GTCTGACCAGTGCTGATTGGCCCTGTGCTGATCACATGCACTCTCCCAAGAAAAAAAAAACCCTCTAGCAATACACACCAAACTGAGCATGTGTAAAATGCCTATGGTTCAGTCTATCTTATCAGGAGATAAGGAGATGGATGCTTGAACAAGTGTAGGAACAGAGCAGTCAGGATCAAACAGCTTTTTTACACAATGCAGAGGGTTAACCCCTTAGGTTCCACAGTGAGTATAACAAGCATGCTTTACTGCATATACAGGCTGATTTTACTGTTGTGGGTTTAGTAACACTAAAGTACAGAACAGGGGAGGACTGACCATTTGGAAACTCGGGCGCTGCCCGAGAGCCGGGGTCAGTAGGGGGCCCCATGAGATGCCCCTGGTACCTTTTTCATAGGCTTTTTGAGTTTGGGCAAGGACACAGGGGCCCCATGATCCCCTATTGCCCGGGGGCCCCATGAGTCGTCAGTCCGCCCCTGGTACAGAAATTATAGACAACAGGTTCACATTACCGTTTGTCTCTCAAATGCTCATCTTTCAGCTGTCAATTTGTAAAAAAGTTTGGTGCAACTACGTACATTTAACGTACAGTAGTTCTGGTCATCTCCATCTAGCGGCTGACATGCACACTACTGAGTTCAATGTTATCCCACTACAGCACACACCCCAGAAACCTCCAGGAACCCTTATGTGTGTGTGTGTGGGGGGGGGGGGGCAAGGTTTCAACTGCCTAGGGGCCTCCACAGAGTTTATTCCAGCACTGGTTTCTGTATGAAGATTTAAATTTCTTGCGTTAATGAAGGCAAAGGCGTGAATGGGCCGTTGTTATGTTATGGTCATCTGCCAAACAAATGGCGCTTAACTGAGCTCTTTTTTATTTGTACTTCTAGCAGTTGACATGAAATGAAATGATAGATCTCTCCAGTTGAGTTTGCACCTCCACCCACCTTTGACTTTAGGTACGTTCACTACGGACAAATGCAGCAGTAGTGGAAATGGGATTCCACTGTGAGCAGGACAAACCTGGGCTATCCTGCTGGCCAATCGATACAAGAAGCCAGATTGGATGGAAGAATTCTTTAAGAGAGCTCAATAATATGAAGTCGATTAATCCTGAAATAATGTGCAGAATGTGCCTGCAGTGTGTTGGAGGGAGCTGTGCAAGAATATTTTGGATGAGAACACAAGATGACCTCACGTTCACAAGCCAACGCTCTTATATAACACATTGACCAAGCCAGAACAAAATCATCTTCCATCCATTTCACAGAGGAAGAATTCTGCTGTTCCTGCACAGTCCTACTGAAATGTATTTTCGGGACCAATGCTATTCCACTTATGTGGAAATCATTGCTGACCAAGACTCAGGGAGCACTTCTGGGGGTCAAAGCACTGCAACAAGTTTGATATTGGACCAAACTTACCTATGTTGTCTTTACTCCAAAAAGTAATCTTTGAAGCCTCCAAAATCTAACATGTACTATAAACAATACACATATGATTAACACCCCTCATCCTAAAAATGGGGAGGTTGCCCTTTACCTCCCGTCCCAGAGATACAGGGGGAAGTAGAAGGGAAATTGCTCAAAAGTGACAGAAAATCTCGTAGACAACTGCCACCAAACAGGAGTCCCCAGTGAACATTTTCCCTATACTCTTGCTTTGGTGACTCTTGGAAAATTTTGTGATTTCCCAACACTTTCTGCCTCCTTACCAACACACAGGGCTGTGGATAAGGGGGTACCACCAGTCCTCCTGTACGGGGCCCAGGCCAGCAGGGGGGCCCAGGCAGCTGGATGAGTCAGATGTGGGCAGGGAGATGATTGGCAAGGCAGGGGGCAATTACAGGAACCAATCCCCTGTAGGACTCTCTCTGCAGTAGCTGAAAGCTGGCTTCTTCTGCTCTCCTTCCGGCTGGCTCTCAGTTGCTGCATAGAGAGCCATACAAAGGGTCGGTTCCACTAATTGTCCCCCCCACAACCATTACCCTCTTTGTACACTATATGTTTCCCCCTGCTGCCCAGGCCCCCCTGTGTGCCCCCACCCCCGCAAGGCTGCCAGCTTCCCTCCTCTCCTTCCCACTGGCACCCGCAGGCACACAGTAGGATCCTTCAGCATGGAGAATGTGGGAAGGGTCTGGTAAATATGTCCTGCATGGGTTAACTGCTCATTTTTGTCTGCTGGAGAGGAGTGAGGAGATATACTTACCTAATCCTCCGATCCTCCCAGCACAAGACTGGTGCTGCATCCCCACACTTCAGCAGTCTTAACGTATGGACTGTTCCTGACTTCATCAAGCCCAGAGTAGGCTTCATAGACCAGGAACAGACCACTGCTGGACCGTGGGGGAGTGCCGTTTTCCAGTGGAGCAGAGGATCGGATGAGTATGACCTTTCTCTTCACCCCTAGACAAAACGAACAGTTGACCCAAGCAGTGCAGGCACAGCCCTACTGCAGGGAACATTTTTTTCTTTTGCCTGCAGTTGAGCTTTAAATAATTTTATGGTAAACAATATCCTTTGTTCCCAGCTCAGATAGTGGGTATGTGTCCTTGTCTGCTGCTGACCACCAGGGAGATCCACTTTCATAACCCACACTCACATCTTTCAGCACATAATACGTAGTAGGAAAAGATAAAAAAAAAGAATGATCACCTAAACACATTGAAAAGTCTCAAAATTTCATTAATGTATACAGATTTCTACACTAGAACTAAAAAAAGTTGGATATTTGAGGAGGAATGAAGGAGAGCAAGATTCAGTTCCCTAAAAAGGGAGAGTCCCGCCAAATGAGGGACAGTTGAAAGATATGATATTTGATCAGATGATTTAAAGTAAACGTCAAGAAATACAGAGGCTGCTACTGCTGCCCTCCCCCTTCTGAACATGTTTGCTGGCTGTCATGTTGACTCTCTGTATTCAATACAGGTATATCAAAAAGGAGACTTTTCTCTGACTTTACTGATCTGAATACTTGTTCCAGTTCAGTGACCTCATAAAAAAATAGACAAAAATAAATTACATGGCCATTAAAGTGGTTGTAAACCTCAGACATGAAATATGAACAAAGCATGTCTCTATAGTGTACTAAGTGTCAATTCTCTCTGCTACTTCATTCTTCTGCTATCAACATGAATAATTTCTGACAAATTTTCCTGACACCAAGTGAAAAATGGTGACAGGAGGAGGGGCCTCCAGCAGATTGACAGCCTCAGCTCTGTTCCTGTGAGCTCTGTGGAGGGGGGTGTGTCTCCTCCCTCCAATCAGCTCTCAGTGCTCTCCTCACTGAGCTGTGCAGTTTGTGATTTTAGCTCTCCACCCCCTTTTTCTGAACTCTCAGTCAAGCTTTATACATTCAGAACTTTGGATATAGAGAAGAGAATACTGCAGATAAGCAGGTATAACTTATGCATGAGGATTTGTTTTATTTCTGTGTATCACCTGAGACCAGTCACTTCACTGGGTATATGTAAGGGTTTACAACCACTTTAAAACCATATTAAACTCAAAAGCAAAACATTTATTATATTTCAATTCTTAGATATAATGTCTGCATTTGTTTTCTTTTTTAGGCTGGCCATACACTATACAATTTTCTGTCCAATTTCTGCCCAAATTCCATTAGATTTACCTTCAACTATGTAGTGCAAGAGCCTGCCTAATTGGATACAATTGAAAGTTTTGTTAGGTTTGACCTATTATATGGTTTTTTGTAAATCTAAACCAAAAATCTCAAGAAAATTGTATAAGGTATGGCCAGTCTTAGGATTTCTTTCCTTTATTTTCACCATGGTAATCCACCCTGTAAGTCTGTTGTTTTTCAACAGAACAACCTGCCCTGCAGAAGATAAACCATTTACCACTAACAGGGGTACTTACAATGATTAGCTTTTATTTATTCATGTAAAACCTTTATCCCAAAAGGAAAAACAAATTGTAGCAGATTATAATGTGCTAGATGAAGTTCAGCTTCAATTTGTTAGTGTATCTAAATCTGCTAGTTCATCTAACACAGTACAAGAACATCCAATAGACTGAGTCAAATTCGGGAATGTAAACTAAGTGCATTTGAACATTTTTTAATTGTTACATAATCACTTTAATAGTTGTTATATATACTGTATATATAGTTCAGAGTTACTATAATTTTTTTTTCAATGTAAGAGGGACAGGAAGTAAGGACGCACAAATCATCTTCCACTGAAAACTTAAAGAGCTAATCCCTGACCCACCGCAAATGAGTTTGTAAGTTGTTAAGCGATCGGTCTGGGTGAATAGTAGCCGGGATGTCTCTGGATAAGATAGACGATACATGAGACCCTCTATCTTCACCGCTTCATACTTGTGGCCTTGTTAAAATGCCTGACCTAAGCAGCTGGCAGAGGGGACACAATTTCCACTCGCTCAAATTACAGTGCAGGATGGTTGTGGTAGCTGCACCAAGTTAATGTGTCAGCACTATGCAGCGGCCTCGTCCTCTCTGGGGAACTGTGGACCCGGTGAGGCCTGGATGGTCGGCTCAGGGTACCATGGGAACAGCACAAAATGTTCCCCAAACTGTGTAGGGGATTGGTCACCAAAGCCACCTTAAGAACACCATAAGCCCACCGATGTGCCAGCAACTGGTGCTGCCAACATGGGACCTGTTGGGATGTGACATTGAGACTCGGATAGGGAAACCCTAGAAAACCCATCCTTTGACAAGTTTGCTTTTTAAACTGATACTAATACACACTGTTTACAGGTACTTTACATTATTTCTTCTCTTTCTGTATATGGATGAAGGCTCTGTACAGGGACGGACTGACCATTTGGAAGCTCGGGCACTGCCCGAGGGACCGGGGTCAGTAGGAGGCCCCATGAGATGCCCCTGGTACCTTTTTCATAGGCTTTTTTGAGTTTGGGCAAGGACACAGGCACCCATGATCCCCTATTGCCCGGCGGCACCATGAGTTGTCAGTCCGCCCCCCGCTCTGTAATTATTTTAATAAAAAAAAGAACATCTAAGTACTTTTTTCATAATCGATATACAGCTGTCACATGACCCAGCTCTTTTCTAGTCTGTCTACAGGGAAATGTAGGCTGGAGGAGCTTCTAGTCCTCTGGTGCTGTTCAAATGTTCAAAAAAACAACAAAAAAATAGGCTTTGGGATACAGAGTAAAAATAGATAATAAATATCAATGCACGGTTTTAAAAACATGGGCAGCACAGTGGCTAAACGGTTAGCACTTCTGCCTGGCAGTACTAGGGATGTTGGTTCTAATCCCAACCACGGCACCACCTGCCTGGAGTTTGCATGTTCTCCCTGTGCCTGCGTGGATTTCCTCTGGGTACTCCGGTTTCCTCCCATATTCCAAAGACATGCTGTTAGGTTAATTGGCTCCTGTCTAAATTGGCCCTAGTATGTGTATGAATGTAAGTTAGGGACCTTAGATTGTACGCCCCTTGAGGGTTAGGGACTGATGTGAATGTACAATATATATGTAAAGCACTGCGTAAATTGGCAGCGCTATATAAGTACCTGAAATAAATAAATCATCATACAAATATACTTTATATTGCCAAACGTATTGGGCCAGCCTTCCAAATCATTGGATTCAGGTGTTCCAATCACCTCCATGGCCACAGGTGTATAAAATCAAGCACCTAGGCATGCAGACTGCTTCTACAAACATTTGTGAAAGAATGGGTCACTCTCAGGAGCTCAGTGAAGTCAAGCGTGGTCCCATGATAGGTTGCCACCTGTGCAATAAGTCCATCTGTGACATTTCCTTGCTACTAAATATTCCACGGCCAACTGTTAGTGGTATTATAACAAAGTGGAAGCAACTGGGAACAACAGCAACTCAGCCACAAAGTGGTAAGCCAGGTAAAATGACAGAACGGGGTCAGCATATGCTGAAAAGTGCAGTGTGCAGAAGTTGCCAACTGTCTGCAGAGTCAACAGCTAAAGACCTCCACACTTGGTGTGGCCTTCAGATTAGCACAACAGTGCGTAGAGAGCTTCATGGAATGGGTTTTCATGGCCGAGCAGCTGCATCCAAGCCTTACATCACCAAGTGCACTGGATGCAGTAGTGTAAAGCACGTTGCCATTGGTCTCTAGAGCAGTGGAGACGTGTTCTCTGGAGTGACCAGTCACGCTTCTTCATCTGACAATCCGATGGACGTGCCTGGGTTTGGTGGTTGCCAGGAGAACAGTACTTGTCTGACTGCATTACGTCAAGCATAAAGTTTGGTGGAGGGGGGATTATGGTGTGGGGTCATTTTTCAGGGGTTGGGCTTGGCCCCTTAGTTCCAGTGAAGGGAACTCTTAAGGCATCAGCATACCAAGACACTTTGGACAATTTCATGCTCCCAAATTTGTGGGAACAGTTTGGGGATGACCCCTTCCTGTTCCAACATGACTGCACACCAATGCACAAAGCAAGGTCCATAAAGACATGGTATGAGCGAGTTTAGGGTGGAGGAACTTGACTGGCCTGCACAGAGTCCTGACCTCCAACCCGATAGACACACCTTTGGGATGAATTAGAGTGGAGACTGCCAGCCAGGCCTTCTCGTCTGACATCAGTGCCTGACCTCACAAATGCGCTTCTAGAAGAATGGTCAAACCTTCCCATAGACACACTCCTAAACCTTGTGGACAGCCTTCCCAGAAGAGTTGATCTGTTATAGCTACAAAGGGCGGGGCCAACTCAATATTGAACCCTACGGACTAAGACTGGGATGCCATTAAAGTTAATGTGCATGTAAAGGCAGGCATCCCAATACTTTTGGCAATATAGTGTATGTTTGATATAAAATCATTATTATTTTTTGGCAATAACATGGTGTGGGCGGATTTCTGCCAGTCACAGGGGTGGGGTGTCATACCCCTCCAGCCTTTGTCTTAGAATAAGAGGAAGGTGAAGGGTCCATCAATCAAGATGTAATATCCCACCCCCATTGTGTTTAACTGGTTAGTGGGCATGGAAGAGGAGGGACCACTTTACCACCGTGTACACCCCAATATGTGTGACTCTATAGTCACATTGGCTGCTCAGATGTGAAAGGGAGAAAATGCTCAGGGCAGAAATACACTGAAGCTGAGCATGTGCAGTAGCTGCAAACACTGTTCTGCAAAATCCCCAAATGCAGTGGGAACATGGACAGAAGCGGGAGAGAGAGAACAGCAGGATCAACCAATTTTTTTGCAGAATACAGAAAACGAATCTCATAGTAAATCAGTGAGCATTTATTCGTAGTTTTTTTATGATGTGGGATTAATGACGCTTTAGGCTGTATAAATCAGGGCACTAATAAAATGAAAAATAATGATATTAATATTTGAAAAATATAGCATATTGGGGTTTTTTTCTAATTTGGTCCTCTAAGATCAGTGTTCTGATCATTTTCTTTTCAATGGGAACAGCTAAGATACACAGCTAAAATCCACATAGGCAAAACTTGCTCAATATTTGCAAATCAGTTCTACCGTTCCTGTGATTCCCATACTTCCAACACACTAAATAGCCAGAAGGTGGCACTGCTGTTGAGATTCTGCAGCTGTACAGCTTCTTGTGTCAGCTCCCTGGACTGACAACGCTGCTGCTAATTGTGAGGCAGTAGCTTTGCGTTGTCAGCCTCCAACAGGAAGTTCTATAGCTGGTAGGATTCCCAGGTAATAAACTTTGCAACACATTCACAAACAATGATTTTCTTAGGAAAACTGTATAGGGCAACGTATGATGACACCAATACTGAACAAATGATTTATGGTTTACATACACTTTAACGTGACTCTAACTTCAACCCTTTAATTCCTTTAACCTTCTTTAGGCCCCAGTGCACAGAGGACATTTTTTTATTCCCCAGGAGAGGAAAACGCAGTGTTAAAAATGTACCTATATTAATTTAGGCTGGCTATTGGAACCAATGAATGAGCAAGCTCATCTAGACACGGTTTCACACTTTTTTGTCGCAAAACGTTCCTTTCCAGAACACGCTGGCCCTGGGTTTTGTCCTGCCTCTAAATGCCAGTAAATGTCTAAGGCTGCTTTCACACTGATCCATTTTATTTTTGCTTTTGTGTTAAAAAAAGAGGAAGAAAAACTTGTGACCATGTATTCGTATGGAACTCTTCACACTGATCCATTGCGGGTTCGCTGCATTTTTTAAAAAATCTGGCTTGCTGCATTTTTTGCGCAGTTAAAAAACAGTACCAAAAACGTACCTCCCCTTTGAAATGAATGAAAACGGCACCTGCCTAGTGTTTTAGGTGTGGTTTTTGAGTCACATGTCCTTTAAAAAGTGCACCGTTAACGTGGTAAAAATGCTGCAAAAGCACATATGTGTTTTTGCTTCGGATCAGTGTGAAAGTATCTAAGTGTACATGGACACATAGGCTAACATAGAGAAAAAAAACGCAAAACGCCCTTTAAAGCATAATTTTGTAACAAACTTCTTGTCTTAGGTGCAGGGGCGCACTGACAACTCATGGGGCCCCCGGGCAATAGGGGATCATGGGGGCCCTGTGTCCTTGCCCAAACTCAAAAAAGCCTATGAAAAAGGTACCAGGGGCATCTCATGGGGCCCCCTACTGACCCCCCCGGGCAATAGGGGATCATGGGGCCCCTGTGTCCTTGCCCAAACTCAAAAAAGCCTATGAAAAAGGTACCAGGGACATCTCATGGGGCCCCCTACTGACCTCGGGCCCTCGGGCAGTGCCCGAGTTTCCAGATGGTCAGTCCGCCCCTGCTTAGGTGAGGTCAATCCTCCAATCACAGAATGCATCCATTCAGTGAAAAAGAATACAAAACTTTTTCTGAATGGAAGAGGTTCAGAATGAGTATCCTCCTGTGTTATCTGTGACATCTGGAACTGCAAGTCTTGATGCCGACAAGATACTGCAAGCTGAATATAAGTAAAAGGTTTAACAAAAGCTGCAGCAGCCAGAGATGGGGTACACTTCATTAGAGGTGCAAATGTACTAAATTGATTTTAACCGTACTCCAGCTTTAAAATAAAACTAAAACTCATTCTGCACACTTTGAATTATTGGTTTCATCATCAGATGTACAAGATTCATCTGTCACCCAAAGACAAACAGAAGCTGCCAGCATTTTAATACAACAGCTATTCTGACAGGTTCTCTTTTCAGGAAAACATTTCTTAACAAGACATGTAGGCTGCCATTGCTGACCTCTTGGCTGAAATTACTGGCTGTCATGGTAATCCAGCGGATTCAAATGGGGAACCAAAACAAGCAATTGATTAAAATAGGGAACCTATAGTAAAGCTATAGAGTAATATAGACAATTTGTATATCTGACTGATAAAGGATGCCTGAACCAGCTGCTAATGGGGGCTATGCTGACTGAAACAGTCGTCATACTTATAACTACATAGCAATAATTTAGGTGAGGTGGAGTTACAGCCTCTGAAATGCATTGGCTTTGCAAGCAACCTATCATTGTAATATACAGTGCTCAAAAAAAATTAAAGGAACACTTTTTAATCAGAGTATAGCATCAAGTCCAATTAAACTCCTGGGATATTGATCTGGTCAGTTAAGTAGCAGAGGAGATTGTTAATCAGTTTCAGCTGCTTTGGTGTTAAAGAAATTAACAGGTGCACTAGATGGGCAACAATGAGATGACCCCCAAAACAGGAATGGTTTTACAGGTAGAGGCCACTGACAATTTTTCCCCTACTCATCTTTTCTGACTGTTTTTCACTAGTTTTGCATTTGGCTAGGGTCAGTGTCACTATTGATAGTGTGAGAAAATACCTGGACCCTACAGAGGTTGCACAGGCAGTCCACCTCCTCCAGGATGGCACATAAATACGTACCATTGCCAGAAGGTTTGCTGTGTCTCCCAGCACAGTCTGAAGTGCATGGAGGAGATTCCAGGAGACAGGCAGTTACTCTAGGAGAGCTGGACAGGGCCATAGACAGTCCTTAACCCATCAGCAGGACCGATATCTGCTCCTTTGTGCAAGGAGGAACAGGATGAGCACTGCCAGAGCCCTACAAAATGACCTCCAGCAGGCCACT